CCAGTGCTTATCACACAGGGCAAGGCCTGAGCCAAGTTGGTCCATCCACAGGAAGCTCAGGTGTAAGTGACTGGTGCCACAGGCAGCTGGGACTCATCTCAGATGCTCTGTCAGAGGTTATGTTGGATGTGATTGCATTTGCATGAAGCAGAAATGTAAAGAAAAAAGAAAGAAGAAAGGTCTTCTTCATCTTTCCTTCCTTTCACATGCAACTAACAGAGGAAGTGCCCCAGAAGCAGCTCCTGGAACAACTGTTGAATTCAGTGCATGTTGAATTTGGCACACGTGCACGTGAACACCCCGTGCGTCCATGGGGCAGCAGAGACACCCACCAGAGTGGGCAGCTCTCAGAGGTCCCATAAGACAAAACCCAGTCTATTGTAATGCAGATTTCCCCTCATTCCTCAAAGGTGTTACAGGTGCAGAGTTCTTCACAGGCTGTCCCTGCTGGATTAAAATATATCCCTTGACTAACAAATGGCTGTGTGCCGAGAGTGTTATTTTGCAAAGCAATAATGGACTGTGCTGTGTGGGAAAGCAGGGGGGGAAACTGTAAAGCACCGTGAGGAGAAGCTGTGACAGACCGTGCATAGCAATTTCCTTGCTCTTCACAGCTCCTTGAGGATAATCGTGCCAGAACCCAGAGCAAACCTCCCCACAGCAAGTGTGAGCTGCAACCAGCTCAAGAGTTGGCAGCGACGAAGGAAATTAAGTGAGTGCGCAAGAGAAATGACAGGCCCTGCGTTCTTGCTGTGACTAATATACAAAATTGCTGCAGGTTTTCACAGTTAAGCTGTTTTTCCTCTGACCTGTGGTAAGCTGGTTATTCCAACTAAGCTGCTTTTAGCTCTCAGATGTGAAAGAGATACATGAGCAAAGCCTTGCTCACCCTCTAATCAATGCAGAATTAAAGACAGAGCTACTTAGCGTAATCTGACCTTCCCTGGTGTGAGTCTGTGTGTGTGTGTGTGTGTGTGTGTGCAAGAGATTCGATTACTGCAGCTTGTGGTACCCATTACAGCTATATATTACAATATGCTATGCTTGCTCATTGCTTAGGCAGTTTTCCAAAATCACCTGTGAACTGTTTTTGTCAGCAGCCATCATGCTCGTTGTCAGAGCCACAACCTTGGGGTTTGTTTTTGGTCACTGTACATCTGTGGCTATTAGAGTCCCTCAGTAGTAGTAGTCATTGTCTGTGGTTCCCCCAAGCCCAACTAGAAGTGCTCGTCTTTGGTTCAAAATGGCCAATTTTGGCAATTTGTGTCTGTGTCAACTTTTCCCTACTTCCCTTGACTAGCTTTTCCTCAGTGTTTGGAAGTCTCTTTCTCCCCCTTGCTTCCCCTGTTTTTTCCTTTGGAAAGTCGTCTCTTCCAGGTGGCTGCAAACTCCCACCTCTCTAGGACTGTCACAGAGAGCTTGCTTGGAGGATGGCACTTCAGGCCGCCACCAATTACATCAGGTGCCACGTGACAAGAGCCAACCCTCAGGTCATGTTGAGGAAAGTGTCTCCAAGCTGAAGGCAGAACTGACTACATGTGTCTGAAGTGCTTGAGGCACAGAGCTGTGTGTCTGACCGAGCACGCCCCACGGCTACAGCTGCTGCATAAGCAGGACAGAGAAGAAACTTTCTGAGTGGGAACCATCATTTTACTTGAATGTTATTCTTCTCAGAAGCGTCACGTGCTGAAGTCTCACCTTAACCCATTTACAAAAGATGTATCTCAAACTCACACCATGAGGGAATGCATGTTCCATGCAGTGCACAAGAGAGATTAAAGTAACCCGTGTGCGTTGCACCCATCCTGGAGGCTTCCAGTGCACAACAGTGTTTCTTCACAAGAGTGGTGACTTATTTTTCTTCCACCAAACTGTAGCTTTCCAAGACAAAGTTCTCAAGCCAACAGTCCATTTCAGCTTTATTTGTAGAAACAGAAAAGGATACAAAATTATGAAATATGTATAAAGCACTGAAAAAAAATTAGAAAACAGTTTTAGTTCAGGAAAAAAGCATACTCTATATGACCTCCAAGGTCATTTCCATATTGGAGCTGGAAGCCTTACATGCATACAAATTGGAAACCAATCACTTAGCAGCTCTTCATTTCATGTAATAATGGTAATCGATAAGACTGAAGAACAGACTCATGACTTTTTCTTCTAATGCTAATTCCACTTAATTACAAAATTTGGGTAAAGTTTGATAAAGTCTTAGCTCAGTGCTACCCCAAAATGGAGGCCAATCTCAGACACTTCTAGCAAATTCAGAGGCTTAGAGCTATATACTTTGTGGCTGAGAGAATCCTTGCAATCAGTGTAAGTCAATCAGGTAGGCCATGTCTCTGGCTAGGCAGCACTCAAGTTAAGCCTTATTTTTAACAGTCCATGGTGTCTCCCAGAAATGGCTTTCAGGGGAAATAGTGGCATTGTCATAGCAGGGAAGAAGGGGGAATCTTAACACAAAGGGCTGGAACTTCTGCTTTGAAACAGCAAGAGATGGGCTTGTCACTGGATGGGTAGAGATTTGAAGCCTCTGCCCTTATTTCTTCAGGAATCAACGGAGGGCAAAAAGAAAGCTGCCATAGTTTTGAGCAGCAGAGGCATCAGAAGTGCAGGCGAATAAGCTGAAGCCCGTCTCAGGAAATGAATTTCTTGTTGAAGGGATAAGCTATATCAGACTTGGCTGAAGCTGCAGGAGTGATGGACAGTAGGATGCTAACTGTGCCTCACAACAGACTGAAATGTCTGCCAGGGGCATGGAACAAGTTTTGACATGAGTCCTGTTTTGGGTGGAGGAAGCTGCTTTTGGAAGAAGCCCTCTTCAGTACTGGTTGCCTTTTGCCATGCCTAGGGGGAATGTCTAACTTTAGAAACACTAAAGATCTTCTGGCTGCTCTTCAATATCAGTTTAAAAAAGAACAGCTTAGGAGACACCCCTAGTGCCAGAGAGGAGTAGAGTGTCCCCTTCCCTCAGAAAAGAAGCATGTGCTGAAGCACTCCTGCAGGTAGGCAGGCAGGACCTTCCCAGCTCTGGGCAACCTAGTCTTTTGGCAAAGACACTGCTGTAACAGGTCTGGCTGTGAGCAAAGGACATGGAACTCCAGTTAATCTGGTGCCACTGTATTGGACCATTCTGGGATGTTTTTTTAAAGGTCTTAAAAAGTTACTTCTACGGTGTCTTCGATATTGCAGTAGCTGATTGCCTGGACACCAGAGAATGAAGCAGACTGAACAGATTTACCATTCATCCAGACCTGGGTTATCTCCTTTTGTAACAGAACAATATAAGAGACAGACTGAACAGTTTCCTTGAAGGTGGAATTTGCCCCATAATAAAGGTAATATTTTACGCTTTAGCTCTTACACAAGGCAGAGAGCACTTAAAGCCCAAGGAGATGTAAGAGCATATTTGATTAGAAAGAAAAGTTGTTCCTTAAGAAAAGACCTGCCTCCCTACTCCCTCTTTTAAAAGAAACAAATAAAACCATTCCGAAGATTACCAAAAAAAGGGTGTTATTTCAAAGGTGAAATTTTAAATGAAGACATTAAAAAAAACCCCAGACTTCGCTACAGTAGGTAGAAAAGTAGCTTAAGGCAGAACTACTGCAGTCAGTGAGAATACAAAAATGTTCTAACTTATATCAGAAAGCAATCAAGAAGAACTGATGAGCATTGCCCTTCATGGAGCAGTCTAAGTGCAGGCCCTGCATGCCCCTGGACAGCAGCTGTGAAAGATTGGGCTTTTTGAATTCTCCAAGGTAGGAAATTGACTTTTTTTTTCTTCAGCGTCTCAAAATAGGCAGCAAAACATTAAAACAATCTTCAACATATACAAAATACCTGTTCTGAGATGCATGCTTCCAGTGCACATAGAGTCACAGAAATGCTGTTTTACAAAAACAATGTCATTCAAAATGCTTCATAATGTCTCCCCACCTCTGGCCATAGCCCACCAGTGTTTCTGGTTCAACTCCTGCACTGCAATCCAGAATCAACTTGGTTTAACACACTGACTGAAGACTTGGTCCAGCATACCCTTCTGCAGACAGGATATCCAGTGTAGAAAACCCATCAACCTGCCTTAAAAATACTTGTTTGCTTCATTCCTAATTTGCAGCATACTTTTGCTCCCATTCAATTCCAACATGCGAATAGCAGTACAGGAACCCGAGAACGGTCAGTGTCGCCCAGGGCCAGCCTATAAATAGAAAAGACAGACAATTCTAGTCAGAATAATTAATGACTGCTTCAAGTAGAAATACTTATGGGATGACCAACTTATGATGCTTCTAATTAATTTTATTAGCAAGTCAGCCTTATAAGTAAGTAGAGCCAACCCACAAAATCTGAGAGGGAAAATCTGGATTGTCTAAGATTCAGGGATGCCTGACCCCCTGGCAGCCCCAGTCTTCTCCATTTTCAGGGAACTTGACCAGGTTTATTCCTGTTGAATTTAAAAGGTCTGTTTCAATCCTCTCCTTTGTCATGGGTTTGTCTATCAAACAGATCTCTGAATGAACCTTAAGCAGGCTATGGTGCTTCCTAGGCTCAAAGGGATGTATAGCCACAATGAAGGTTATGAAAAATCTGAACAAGTCCAGTTACCTGTTCTGCAAAAGAAGTCTGGGGACACCTCTGATTAAGGCCAGTTTGGATATCCTGCAGCTGGGTGTAAAGCCTGATGTACACACTCTACAGCCCACTAACAGCTAATGGGGTCAGAACACCATTGTGTCAGTGCAGAACAGACAGCCCTGTCTGCATGATTTGCCTGACACCTCAATTACTGTTTAACTAAAAAAGACCAAATCTTCCATAATATAAAACCTTTGCTGTGGAAATGATGTTTCATTATTATTTCAAATTTTTTTTAGCGAAAGTCACCATCTTTTCACTTGAACTTTCCACAGCTAACAGCAGTAAGCAGGAGGCCACAAGCCAAAAGGTCTATTGCCTTCCTGTGGAGTCGTGAATCACTTGAAAAATCTGATTTTGCTTTTCTTGATACCTTTCATGGCACCTCTGTTCCCTTTGTCCTTTCTCCTCCTCTCTTTCGAATTGATGAAATTTAGATTTTATAGGTTGAAACCCTCAGCATTAGGCCCTGTTGTTTTTCTATGTGTGTTATCTGGGGAAAGAGGACAGGAAGGAAGGTGTTTGAGGGTTTTTTGGTGGCTTTTTGTTGCTGTTGTTGAGGTAAGAATTTTGATTATGTGTATGACTGGTTTTCTTCATGCTGTCCTTGAACTACCAGCACCTGCTTCTGAAAGAAAAGCTTCAGTGCTCCCTCTTGGGGAAAACTCCGGTTTGAAGGAACCTGCTGGCAGACATGAGATTCTCCTTTGGCCTGGAGAAGGGATGGAAAGAAGTTGTAACCTCTCCAAAAGATGATACTGCAGGAAGAGCTCTTTCTGAAGATATATTTACTAGGTGTTTTGCAGTCTGGAGACTGTTTAATTGTGCTCATATCCAGCTGAGCCTTAGCATCATACCATGTCCTCAGCAAGGCTCACAGCCCCAGCCTCAGTCCTGCAGTTCTGGGGATTGCCTGTGCTGGGACCCTTCCTCTGTGCTCTCAGAAAAAGCTGTTTTCCACCCCTATGAATAACTATGTGTTTGCTTCATGAGCCTCTAGTTGTTCTGGCCTTGTTTTGTGGTGAAATAGAGGCTTGTAACCTGACCGATTTTCATGGAGACATTTACAAATATTGATCCCTTGTCCTCACAACACCCTAAAGCAAAATTATACTTTTTGTTTAATTATCTGTTTCACAGAACCAAATTGCTTAGGTATCTCCAAAGGGATTTTTAACAATAAAATAGTCTTGTTTTTATTTCAGTGAAATTAGGCTACAGCAGATTGGGTTTCACTTTCAATAGCAAGCTAAAGTCCAGCTGGGCTTTGTCACTGCTAAAAGTGCACGTGAAAGTATGTCAATAGGTGTAATAAAAACATACCTCTTCTGGCAGCAATATTGTGGTGGCTGCTTTCCACAGACAGAGCCAGAAAACTAAAAAGGCCTGAGTCTAGAATTGCTCTCCTCTTTTAGGGACACTCTGGAAATCTGCTGGATGTATGTTTTGCATTTTTAAATACTTGAAAGCTCTGGCACAGAGAAAATGTGCCAACAGTAGTCTTTAGTCTGATTTGCTTACTATCCCTAGCCAGTGTATTAGAGATCTTGTCTGGATAGGTAGGTGTGCACTGGAAATCTTTTCTAGATGTCTTAGATTTATGATAAGATTCCTTCACAGTGCCCAGAATTTGGATTCACAGGGTTCTCAGACACTGAAATCAGGCTTGTGATAATCCTCCTGGAACATAGGGAGTCCCTCCTGTACAGTAACAGGTGTCAGGGATGGTATTCAGCAGATTATCTTGTGATCTAATGAAGATGAGAAGGAAGGGGGAGGACAAAGTGACCCACTGTGGACAAGAGGAACGGGGAATTTTTAAAATTTAATCTTGCTACAGCTGTTCTAAGAGGAGCAGCACAGATCCCAAAGCATTTCTTGCTGCACAGGTGGGAGGCAGCCAGCTCCAAGCAGAGCTAAGAGGGCACCTCTGCCTTGCTGGCCCTTTCTTGCCATACTGGAACCATATGCACTGCTGCCGGCTGTGAGGAAATGCACGTGGTGCTTGTGCTGCAAGTGAGCGAAGCAAAGGCATCACATTCTGCTCCTAGGCAATCCCAAATCAGCTCTAGTGCATCCACACCTGAGAAGCAACCCAAGGACAGCCTGAAGCTAGCAGGGAATCTTTAAACTGTTTTCACTCAACTCTTCCATTTTAGAACTGGATATACAATAAACTTGTTGAAAAGTCTGAAGAACTTCCTCTCCAGAAGGTGATGATGTAGGGAAGGACACATTGAGCAATGCTAATCCAGCAAGAATGCAATTTCAAATTCTGCCTAGCATGTGTTGTCCTTGTATGTGACTTCCATAATCAAACAGCAGCATGTGCTGCTCTCTTGCAAACCAAGTTCACAGGAGCCTCTTCCTTGCTTCAACAGTTTCTCCTTCTACACCCAAACAACTAAACAGTACTAATGATCTCTTCCAGTTCCAAGGAAATCCCTCTTTTTGCCCTGGACCAGCAGTTTAAGGCATGTTCAGAATGGGTCTTTTGCCTGTTCTGCTTCTACTGTTAGACCATTCAAGGGGCTCTTCTTTCTGGTGGCTCCCCAGCATTACCTTACCACCCTAAAACACTGCATCCTCACCTATGTGGTACCATTCTCCAAACTCTGCTTGGAAAGATATGTGCCTGCATTCTAGATCGGTATCCCTCTATGAAGTTATACATAAAATGTGCTCTTAGAAACCTTACTGGGTTCAAATCAAGTACGAAGATGTTAGGAAAAGACTGGGTTAAGTTTGTCTGTTCAAAAACATGCCACATACTGCCTTCAGTCTTACAATTTCTTGACTGGTTTCAGTAATTTGATTTTAGGCTTGAAGGCCAAGTTTCATGAGACAACTCAGATTTTCATAATCCTTTTTTTCATGGAAAGATGAATTTGTAGTCATTAACATATGCTATTTGTAAATACAAGGATGGATTCATATGCTGTTTGCAAATCCAGCAATATTTGTGAGCTTTACCTGCACAAATTTAAGACAGATGGATATCCCTATTAATGAAGGATCACAAATTCTCTGCTTATACAGATATGTTGTTCCACAAAAAAACAAACACAGACTCCTTTGTGAAGAGGACTGCAAATTCTGTGGAAAGGCAACACTTTATTTGGCTATCACACAACCTCCTCCCAGACAAGTCTTCAGTCCCAGCTAGGCATGAGGCACTGCTCTGCTGCACACAGCTGATGTACTGCCCAGTAGTCTTGCTGGTTTAAAATCACACTGTGATATATTACAAACTCATCTTTCAGCCAAATGAACAAAAGAGACTCGATTTCATTACATGATTAAGACAGACTTAATGCAAACTTGCCACAATAGGAACAGCTTCTAGAGTTACTCCTTCCTTTCAACATCATATGTCGTATTCCAGAATATTTCTGGATACTTTGCAAACATCTAGAAAAGGTCATGTTTCTGGCACACTCTGGATTTTGATGGGAGTGGGGTAAAACCAAGCTTTGAACTCAAAAGGAACTGCATAGAACACAGCTCTTAAAAGACCAGTTATGTCCTTATTACCTCAGTTGAAATCATTTGAACCAACATGTAATCATGTGTCCAGAAGGAAGCTCTTTCAAATTTCCTAATCACCTACAGTAATGAAAAAAAATCACATCAGCAATGTTTTGGGTATACTCAGGTTTCACACTGTCATCACAACACCAGGAAAGAGTCCTCTGTTCCTTCCAACCTGTGAGATGTAAGAGAAAGGGACTGTAGCTGCATTTTGCATTTTCCAAAACTGCCTTAGTGGCTTTTGGACCTTAGTGCTATTTTCAGATGTGACTTGGCTGAACAGTCTTCAGAACTCTTCAAGTGCAGAGCAGTTATTAAATCAATTGAAGTCAGAAAAAGTAATCTCTCTGAAAAGCTTGACTTCAGGAAATGTACATCTTACTCTGACTTTGATTTGGAAGTACCTAAGTTGCTGTAAGACTTAGCACTCAGGAAAATTTATCCTTAAACAAAAGTTCAAATGTGACAAGACACTGAAGCAACTCCTCTGTAAAGTGGAATTATGGAGACATAATGGTGGGGAGGAGGAGGAACAGGCACTGGTTTGTCAAGCATAATAAAAAGCCAAAGCAAACCAGCATTTGTAGCCAAGACACCTCATACCTACAATTAATAACATCCTTAGAGGATCATTAAAACTGCCACATTTTCGAAAAAAACCAAACATATTCAAAACTAAACATCTGTTGAAAGAAACCTATTATCTAGCCCAACATTCGAGGCAGACTATAAACTCTGCAAGTTTGAATTTCAATGTCATGTCTGTCACTTCCAGGTGGATCCCTCCGACCATTACAGCAGGGCATGTCCAACAGCATGTACCACAAACATGGTGCAGTCAGATACCCAATTACTCTTTAGGCATTTGGAAAAGAAAACCCTGATTCCAGCTGTTTTGTAGCAGAGCCCAAACCTGAGCCACAGCAGGTTTTTTTTGCTGCTCCACATTGTACATGTATCAAAGCACAGCCAATACATTCTGCCAGCAAACACACAGCCCTCAAAGTCCCAGTTGGGCATCTCCATCCTCCC